CTAGGTGGTAGCAGCAGCCCAGGTTCCATCATCCTCTCAAGTGAAAACAGGAGTTAGACCCAGACATTTGACAGTTTGTCAGTGTATAAAATCCCTGCGCATGACAGCCTCAACCATGTAAGACAGCCTTGAGCAGGTTGACTAGGAGACCAATAAAACATCAGTATGTACATCAAACATGGACTTCTGCTGATGCCCGGTTTATACATTCAGGAGAAAGGTATCTTAGCCGTACGAAAAGTGACCAGTAAGTAGAAAATCAGCTTTAGGAGGAGTGAGGTGGGTTGCCAGTTCTCTCTCTAAAGTAGTTCTTCTAGTAGCATCATAGAGATGAAATGAGAATGGACCAATCTGTAAATTTTCAGATTCTCATTTTTCTAATCTGTTACCCCCACCCTTCCTTCCTTAAAGGCTGCCACTTCTCCCCCCCCAAAAAAATTTTTTTGGTGTACATTTGGTTGATATGTATGGATTTTGACAAGCGGCTTTCCCATTTCTCATGCCATTTTTGGTTTTTTGGATTTTTTTGTTTTTAAATGGGGAAAATGATTAAGAGGCGTAATTATTGAAGGGTGACAGTTCTGGTGCAGATAATTAAGGAAAGTCAAGAGATAGAGCGTTCATAAATGGTGCCCCTCCACCAATTCTGAAGAAGTGCTATGAGGTTTTTACCACTTCATTTTGCTACATGTGTAAATGACAGAGCCTTAATTTCTCCTTAGGAGATGCAAGGAGGGGTGAATCATGCTCAGAACTGTGGTCTGATATTTTCAAAAGGTGTCTTGTACCTAAACGTTTTAATTGTGGTCCAGTTTCCTTGGTAGTTTTACTGTTCTAAAGGCTGTAATCTCCTGCACGCTTGGGCGTTAAGTCTCTCTGGCTTCTGAGCAAACATGTCCAGGTTGAAATGTTTTGAATTGCTATAAATATTTGCATTTCTATCCGCTGCGTTTTTCTGTGATGTGTTCGCAAATGCATGGCACCGCCTTTCCCACGCTTCCTCTTTCCATACATTCAAATTTCACCCTGAGAATTTGATAAGAGAGGTCTTGTATTTTAGCATCCACGTGGACCATGGCTAGTAAGCAGCCACGTGTAAAATGGAAAACGTAGCCATCGGCAACAGCACAGCCAAAAGCAAAGTTTTCACAGAAATCCCTGCTCTGAAGCCCTTGCCCAGCAGAAGCAAGCTGTACAGCTATGAACCTCGGCCACTTCCAAGCTGAGTCAGAAGCAAGGAACCCTTTTTAATTACCTGTGTTGTGTGAAAACATTGACAGACTCTTGCTTTTATCACATGAATGCCCAGCGCATGCAGCCAAGAGGCAGAGAAACGAGGAAGAACAGAGGAATCGGCTAATGGTGGACAACACGTCCCAGTATGACCCTGAAGTCCAATTGTCATTTGAATGACTGCACACTGCCAGGCCTTTGGTGGAAGGAAGGACATTTTCCAAGGGTTTGGGCACTGGAAAAGAAGGGGTTAAAGTTGCTCTCTGTGTCTCAGGCACAGCTTGCTTATTTTATTTTTTTATATTTTTACGACAACACACCCTGTACTTTAAATTATGTGGCCCTGAGCAATAGTGACTGTAAACGTGCATGCAGGATGCAACCCTTGAAAATAACACTGAAAATCCCACTTCCGAGGGTCTGATCTCAGTCCGTGCCTGGGAGTGAGCCGGTGAGCAGAGCCCTCGCATCGATTCCCTGTTCACTTCGGATAGAGGAGACCCTTTCCCCTTCGATATTGACTAGACTCGTGTACCAGGGGTTTTGCGATCCAGTTTGAGCACTCCTTTTTTTCACCACTAACAGGACAGGCAGGCAGGAAGCAGTTGAGTTCATCAGATCCCTATTAGCATGAATCTCGTAATGTTTTACCAGCCCTGACAGTCGAATGAAGGCTTCAAGGCCCTCTATGGTTTTCCCTTTCAGGCCTTAGCTGAACCCGCTCTTCCCACCCAACCCGGTAAGGCAAACAAATCCGTGCTGGTCTCTTGCCCACATCACAGTTTATGAGTTCAGGTTTTTTTTATTTACAGTACAATTTAATTTTGAAAGGAGTGCATGCCACTGGAACTGCTTTAGACAGACTAGAGAATGGATCCATCTAACCCAAGGTTGGCCAAAATCAACTAGAGTAGTCCCATTCAATCAGTGGAACTTGTCGAGGAGTTGACAAACCAAACCTCCGTAAATTCAATGGGCCTAACTCTAGTTGAGCATTCTAGTGGTTTTCAGCCACTGGTTCGACAGACTGGCTATACAGTTGCCTGAGGAGTAAGGAGGTTCAGCAGGCAAGGTGGTTGAAGAGTCAATGGAGGCTATATTTTTAACAGTTTGCCAAGTGAAGAAGGGGGTTAAGAAAGCGATTGACCGCCAGTGGAGCGTAGTGGGTAAAGTGCATGACTAGGACTCAGAAGATCTGGCTTCAAATCCCTGCTCAGCCATGGAAGCTGAAGAAGGCAGGCAGTAATAAGCCACTCCTTAAGTAGCATACATACCTTGAAAACTCTTTTGGGGTCAATGTAGATCAGAAGTGATTTAACATCAACAAACACAACAAAAAAACACAACCAATGGATTCTCTTGGTATGGGTTCTGAAATTAGTGATTGTGTCGTTTTTTTTCGACGGGTGCTCATTCCGTCACGTGGATTCGAACTTACAACTGCTGGTCTTCTGACCCTGCAGCACAGGCTTCTGCGGTTTAGCCCACAGCGCCAAACACAACAAAAAAACACAACCAATGGATTCTCTTGGTATGGGTTCTGAAATTAGTTTTGTGATTGTGTACTTTTTTCCCTCTGTGATGCTGCGGGTGCCCAGTCATTCAACAGTGGGACAAACATTAGTGATCAGATCGCCAGGAAGTGCAATAAAATCAAGCAAGTTGCTATGAAGGCATTGTGGGGATTTTCATGGTCTTAAGGCAGAGAGGGTCTAAATTTTCTGACTTCTAGCAGTGAGTCAGTGGGGAAGTTTAATACTGCTGCATTTTCTGATTGGCTTCATTCTGTTGTCTTGTCTCCTCTGCAACACTGCAGGAAAGGGATCTAACCTGTGCTTTTCTTCTCTAATCTTTTTAGCATCATGTGTAAAGAGAAATTTGGAGATTATTAAAAGTGTATTTATCAGGAGTGCATTTTATACCAACAGAGCTACCTCTCTTTTTAAAATTTATTTGCTTATCCGTGTCTCCCATCGTGTCACATATAAAATAACCTTTTTGGAAAGAGAGTTTTCATCTAGCAGCTTTTCTTCAGTACAGGACATCCTGTTTACTCATAGTGGCTCCACAGATAGACAAAGATGCCTTTTCGACTTTGTAAGAAGTTTTCAGCTCTTTCCTTTTTAGTCAGGGAGAGGATAAATCCAACTTGAGAAAATATTGCTAAAACTACATAAACTGCAGTGGCAGGAGTTTACATACCTGCATAGGATTGGTGATTTCCTTCTAGATATACTACTTAACTACTGTCTTCAGGGGTCAATGTGTGGTGTTTTGCTTGTTTTAGATGAACCAAGATTGATCAGAAGATTGTCGTTGTCACCAATGCGCTGAAAAATGCAATAGAGGCCACTTTCCCCACCGCTCACCTTCCACCTGTCCAGCCTTCTTTGGAGTGGAAAGGAAAACATGTTTTGCCAAGATAATGCAAGCTCAGTTCGACATACTGAGGGACTCCCAACCAACCTTGGGAGGGGGGGATACATTCCTGTTAATTTAAGTAAACCGTTTAAAGTATGCTTCTCTCTTTCTCAGAATGAACATGCTCGGTGCGCATTATGCACAATGAAGCACAAACCAGCAGCGAATGGGAAGGGAGAGCAGCCTTACTGGAGATGTGACTCGCTGGCTGGTGTCTGAACAAGCGTGCTCTGCTATAACTTTTTGTAACGGCTACTCATGTTGGCTTAACTGATGTTGCATCTTGAAATAGAAGACCTGTGAGTTTTATCCCAGGCTGCATTTCAGCATACATGACGGAAATAAAAACAGTCAAATGCCATGAGTCAGCCAGAAAGCTGCTTTATTCAAAGGAAGACAGCTACCACAGTCTCTATGGTAACAATCAGGTTTAATTCCCTGAGAACATTTATCCTTGTTATTCCCTCCCTCCCTCCCCAATTTCTCATTTAAACAACAACAAACATTTACTACTAAAGGAAGAAGAAATCAGCAACATCCCAGATACTGGGATGTATAAATTAAGGTTAATAATAGTTACAGAAGCCTCCTTCCATTAAAGAGATTGTATAGAAGTAGGGTTTTTCCCCCTGATCCACAGGGGAAAAATAATTTGTTTAAAAAAATCCACAATTTACAAAGCTACTAAGGCTTCCATTTTAACAAAAAGGCACAGTAAATAATACTGCTGCAATAAGATATTTACAAACACTACCCAGTATGGGCCATTCATTTTTTGTTTTTTTGTTTTGTTTTTTTTCATTTGGTGTGGAAACTCTTCAGCTCTCACTCCCTCTGCTCGAGAATAGATGTAGCAAAATATACAGGAATTTGCAAAAGGAACACATCTCACGATGGCTGCCTAAAAGCACGCCCAAGTCTTGTGATTGCTTAGGCTAGGGTGACAGATTTAGAAGCCGAGGAGAGGGATGGCGGTGTGCTGGAGAGAGATCACACACACACATCTGGAGAAGACACTCCACAGGAAACAACATGGGCAGAGACATGACATTGGAGGGAGACAGTGGCTGAATACAGACAACGGAGTTGCTAAAGGGTGATAGGAGGGACTTTTAACCCTTTGATAACACCCCAAACTTTTGCCATAAGTAAAAATGCATGGAAAAGAACAATATGCCCTACCATTATTTCCATTAAGACAGTGCTGTAACTTATCTGGGAGTAAGCCTTGTGTAAAATATCCTAGGACTTTTTTCCGTGCCAATTTAATATAAAAATGATCCCATGGGACCCCAAATGCATTACCTCTCGTAGACCAAAACAGGTCAACTTATCTGGGAGTAAGCCTTGTGTAAAACATCCTAAGACTTTTTTCCGTGCCAATTTAATAAAAATGATCCCATGACAACCAAAACAGGTCTTCAGTAAAAAAAAAATAATAATAATAAACCAAGCAGTCCCATATGTGCACCTGTGGAAACCATTCAGGTAATACGGACAAGAAAGGTGTGACCTTCCAGCGGCTGCTTGGATGCAATTCCGAACAGGACAGCGGGAGAGAAGAGGGATGGGAATGGCCTTCTCTCTCGGGGACAGAGATTGGAAACGCCAGGGGTCTCCATTTCAGCCGGGGCACCTTTAACCTCAGTGTGTCCCCCTTCAATGCATGAGTGAGTGAGAAGCTGGGAGTCCTAAGATACCAGCTCTAAATGCAAAATGGAAGAACGGCAGCCCTCCAGAACTGAAAAAGGATTTCAAAATGTATGCCTATATACATCAGACATATGGCCTTGAGAGATTTAGGAAGAGCAACATTCAAAATATAAACAAAACACGTTTAAACCTAATATTTAAAAAGAAAAAAAAGACAACAAACGAAAGGAAACACATAGTAAACAAACATTAGTACATAGACCTTCATCTGAAAACTGGTCCGGAGCCTGACAAGACAGGAAGGAGAGCAAAAAAGAAGGGTTCCTCCAGCAGATGTAGAAAATAGGGAAGAGCAGGCTTGGGGCCTTAACCTACCAGGTTGCATTTACCATCATCCCCAGCTAGGGAGAGGAGCAGTCCAGTCCCATCACTAAATGTCTGCCCCTTCTTCACTATCTAGTCAACTGTTGACAGGCTGGGGTATAAAGACATGCTAACCTTTATCCAGTTAACCTGTGCATCTTTGAAAAAAGTGCTTCGTTTTGGACAGATTTGGCCTTGTGTGTGTATATATATATAAAGAAGCAAAGGACTAATGCTGCTTCTTTTAAGAATTTCGCAGAAAGAGAACGCCAAGGGGAAGGCTCACAGCCAACGTATCTGAGGAAAGAGCACAGGCTTCTACAGCTCCCCACAGACACTGCAAAGCAGTGTTCAATTTTGTGGGTTTGTTGGGGGTGCCGGGGGAGGCAGGCAGGCGAAAGCGGGAGTCATTTTACATTCCTGTAAAACCAGCACCAGAAGGCAAGAGGCATTCCTGCCTAAGGAACCCCCTTCCCCACGAAAGAGGGCGGGCGGGAGGTAAATACCACCAACAGCAGCAACAAGAGGTGGGGACGGTCACAACCTGCCAAGAGGGAAATCACAAGAGGGGCCGCACAGCAGCCTATAAAACATACACGCACTGTGAATTAACCACAGTAATTAAGAGCCAATGGCTTCACAGCAAAGGAAACAAGCACACCCACACCCACCCACGATCAAACGGGTCCCACGAGCTCTTCGGATACCGGGAGACGTGGGACGAGGTTAAGAAAGGGACGTCTCAATAAACGACGTTGAGAGGGCACCATGGCGTGTCTGGATGGAGCAAGCAGTGGACGGAGCGGAACCTGAAACAGACCAAGAAGGGAGGAAATGAGCACGGACCCCAACGATCAAGGGATCGGGTGTGGAGGGAAAAATCCCAAACTCAATTTATATTCCACCATTCTCCTCAAAAGGGGAATCCACGCAGTCTCACCCTGATATTAAATAATGGCCCTGAATAATTCAGAGGGCCACCATCGTCCTAGTGATGAAGCCAGTGATGTTCAGCTGAGCGGTTTTATTGATTTAAAAACTGCCAGCATGTTCGGGGGTGGTGGTCTTTTGTGAGGAACAATTTGCAGAGAGATCACTGGGTTTTCTCGTTTGGTGAAGCACAGGGGAAGAGATCGGTGGCACCTAAAAGACTTCGCAAAAGCCTTCCGGCGGAAACTTTGTGCAGTACAGAAACCCACCAGTTCACAAAAACGAATACTAGAATGAAGTCTTGTTTATCTTGAAGGTGCCACAAAAGTTGTTTGTTTGTTGTTTACAATTATGTGTTGATTTAGTTTTATATCCTCAGAATTCCTTTTGAGGAAATTAAAGTACATTCCTAGTTCTCCATCATTTTGCCTCCTCACTCCGATTGCCTTACTCTATGATATTTCTAAACTGTTTTTTTAAAGTGCCCCCCATTGCCAGCAAAACTTAAGGCATCACTTGCTAAGTGACAGCCCCTGCCCCGAGCCTTACAATATAAAAAGACATGACATAAGAGGAAGAGGCGATGGGGAGGGAAAAGGAAAATGTTTTAGAAATTGAACCCATGGACCTTTCTCCCATCCCATAAACAAAGCAACACCTTGCTCACCTGGATGGATCTTCTTCCACAGAAAACGCGCCCTTCATGTGGATGGAATTCCTCTTGTTTTCAAACATTCCATAGCTCAGGGTTACCTGTAGGAAGGGCGGGGGGAGAAAAACCACATTCCATCAGACCTGATATAACAGCTCTCGTTCTCCCTCTTCCGTCCACTTTCCTTTAATTAAAAATAGAGTCACTTAAGAAATAGATTTTGCCCCTCTCTGATTGGGAACAGCACTCAGCACTTCCAATTTGAACACAAAACTGAAGTCCAGGTGTGGACGCCGTCCTCCACATTTCCTTCCTCTCGTAGTACTTCTGGGATGGTGCAGCTGGCCCAAGGCCACACGGGCTGGCTCTATTCACAGGAGGTACAATGGGGAGAATCAAACTCCCAACCTCTGGCTCCATAGCCAGACGTCTAACTCACTGAGCTTTCTAGCCAGCTGCTATGAGTATATAGGGCATTAAATGACAATCCTCATTCAAAACATTTAAAGGTCTTTCACAGTAAGCCTACAGAGATCAAGCTGAAAATCTACAGATATTTCCATGGAGATTGGTACATTTTTTTTAAAAAAAACCAACAATTTTGGGATCCATTTGTGATATTCCCCCCACTCCCCGGTCCCTGTTGTATTTACCTGATTGTGAATTTCTGACTTGGGCACCTGGTGGAGGTTCTCCAGGTGGGAATGGAAGAGGTTACTCCGAATCAGCTTCACCCCCAACACCGATTCGATGATGTAGCCAATTGTGCAGTCATCGGGGAGTCGAATCTTTTCAGCAGTACTCATGAAGTGGCCCCCACTGGAAAAAAAGGGGCCGAATGGGAGGAAGGTTCAGTATGACTGAAATAAGGGACCCTGACCCATGTTTGTCGGGATAAGTGGTTTTCTTGCACCCCCCAAACACAGTTCAAACAATAGCAGATCGCATAAGAAACAGGAGGGGTTACATCTACTTAAAGCCACTCATTGTATTATCCTGTCTCTGAGAGCCATCAAGAGTTTGTTGACAGGGTTTTGTGGCACCCTGAAAGAATTAACAAGTTCCATTTCACATCCACTTTTAAGGATTGCATCCTAATTCTCTACTTGCATGGTGGTCTATGAAGACCTCATATGCCTTGTTAAAGGTGTCGTCCACAAGACTTCCTTGGTTTTATCAGTTTATACACGACAGGCTGGCCCCAGTTTTAGATACTTCACAACCTCACCACCATCCTAGAAGCTGCTAAATGAATTTTTAACTTTGCAAGCCAGGAAGACATACTCTGCACCTCTTAATAGTTAAGGCATAACTAATCGGGTTTCAATGATTCCCTAGTGTTTATTCTTGTTCAAGCATTTAAGAAGTCTCTTCCTCTACCGAACAAAGAATGCTAGCTAACAGCCAGCAACCGAACAGTTTAGAAAGAGAGATAGAAGCAACTCCAGTCTGAAGAAGTTACTTGGATAAGTAGAAAAACGTTTCAACCTAATAAGAAAGAAGTTCAGTGGCTATGACTCAACTTCCAGATAATCTCCCCTGGATGACTGAGAATCTTCACAGATAAACTCCAGTTTATCTTTTGACTTCCCTTGTAATAAATCAGTAACCAGTGCTCAGTTAATAAAGTCTCGGGTTCTATGTATTTTTAAAAGAGAGGGGAGGGGGGAAATATTTCTACCCTTTAAAGGTGTTCAGCAAATACTGGGTTAAAAGGTCAGAAACCAGGAGAGACAGGAGCTTGATCACAGCAGAGGTTCTGAGCCTTACAAAACCCTCTCCCCATTTCTCTCTAACTGGAAGAGATGGAAATCAATTATGCAAAGCAAGAAAACCAGTCCACAGCCCTTATTTGCATAATTTTAAAAGGTCAGAGCATTCAGCTTTGCTCCACTCAACAATTTAGGTTTTAGTTTTATTGCTAGGGAAACCTAAGGCAATTTGCTTTGCAAATGCATGCTCTCCTCCCTCTCTATGATAAAGTCCTTCTCCTTTCCCCCACTATCCACTTTACTATAGTTAAGAGATGCCACTACCCTGAATTGAACCAAGGTTAGCAATAACCGTGGTTTGCAAAAGCCACTTCAAACCATGGTTCTCATGGACCCCAATGAGAGTGCAGATATCCCTCCTGATCTAACTTAAGGCCATGGAGAAGGGGACCCTGGGGGGCAATCTAGCTGCACCAATTCATTCCCTTGGATAAGAGACGGTCTCGGTTTCCTCCTCCTCCCACTCCTCCTCTCTCAGCCTCTTGTTCAAAAGGCAGAGCGTCTGCTGTGCCTCTCTAGATCCATTATAGTCACATTTGCACAAAAGTGGAACTCTCGAATTCCACTAAAACTTCAAGACTCTTCACAATTATTTGATCATGCTACACTATGCACTTTATCATCCAGATAGCCCACAAAAATCGCTCGAATCCCATGGCTAGCACAGACCCACTGAAATGAACTCAGACTTGTGGAATGAATGACATTCATTCGCTCCCTGAATCTGTAGGTGTATATGGTGGGACAACCACAGACGACCAAGCATCCTTCAGATCACAGCGGCGGATGGTGTCCTTACCTGGCCCAAGGGCTCATCTTCAGTGCCAGGCCACGACTGATGCAGAAACCAGCCCCACCCGTGGCAAACCAGAAGTGGACGGGATGCTGGGGAGGGAGAAGAATCCACAGAACAAGATTCAATGCCAGTCCCTTCTACTCTTTCCATCACTTTCTAGATGCTCCGCTCCAGCAAATATTCTTGGTTGGGTGGGGAAAAACAATACAGCTAACATGTCCTGCCCTCATGTCTGAAGCTCAAACGGGCTGTAAGAGTTGTGTCATCCATTCTGAAAATGGGGGCTGCCTCCTGGCTAAGCTTCCTGCCTGTGGATGCCTTCCTTAGAAACGAGAAAGTGACCGAGAGGTCCTTTGAAGGCCTTATAGCATAGATGGCTCTTCTAATGCATGGGATCCATTACAGCTAAATCTTAACGACTTGCCCCAAATAGAGTAAGCCTACTGAATCAACTGAATGGCAGGGGATCGTGGATACAAATCCCTTTCATTCAATGGGTCTCCTCCAGTTGGGACTTGCCCTAGGCCACGGTACCCCACGTTCAGTTAATGTGATTACTGTGTGTTGCCCAGCTGATTCCAACTTGCCCAGGCAACCCACCTTTTCTAGCTACAAAGTACTCAGAAGTGGCTTACCCACCCCTGTTCCAGGTGGTCCTCTGGGACTGTGTCGCCCGCCCAAGGCCACCTAGGTGGAAGGGCAAGTCACCCCAACCAGCCACACATCCTCTGGGTAATCTCACCTTCATATCCTCTCCCAATGAAGCAAATAGAGGATTCAAACTCCTAGCTCAGCAACCAGGTGCATCTGCTCCACTGAGCTTTACCCCACCTGTATTTCTGAAGACCACCTAGGATGTGTGGTCCCAGCATAATAAGAGTTCAACCTTCTTGAATTTTAAGACCCAGCTGAAGAAAGGGCTTCTTCACAGTATGCATAATTAATTCAGTTAAGCAGTGATTAATATTTATACGCACAAAAAAGCCATTCCTTTATATCCTCGGGCTTCAACTGTTCGGCAAGTTCACTTACCATCTTGTTCTCACTGATTCTCTCGGTAGCCTGGATGGGCCTGTCCAGGCTGGGCTTCCCAATGTAGATATCCTGGGTGTGAGGATAGCTGGAGAGCAGCTTGAGGAGCATCCGAACGTTTACATAATTGTCGTCATCCACGTGGCAAAACCACCTAATGCAATAACGACAAGAGATAGTTGGGTTAGATGCAGCATAACAGGAGCCCTGTGGTGCAGCGTTAAATTGCAGTACTGCAGTCAAGACTCTGCTCGTGACCAGAGTTTTCTCCTCTACCGGAAGTTGCCAAATGTCCATGGTAATAAAGAGGGTTGCTCAGGACAAAAACAGTTGACCTGCCACCTTGCAAACCTTACTCTTGAGATGGGCTAGCAATGTGGCCCACTAGTCCCAACGATCAAAGCAGTCAGTCCTTTTCACACACACACCCCAAGACACGGAGAATCACCTTCTCCTCTACCGGAAGTTGCCAAATGTCCATCGTAATAAAGAGGGCTGCTCAGGACAAAAACAGGTGACCTGCCACCTTGCAACCTTATTCTTGAGATGGGCTAGCAATGTGACCAACTAGTCCCAACGATCAAAGCAGCCAGTCCTTTTCACAGCCAGTCCCCCCCCCCAAAGACACAGAGAATCACTTCGACATTCCAGCTATTGGTTGTGTGGTCTGTAGATAAGGCCACCCAAAGTCTTCTGGCACCTTAAAGATGCAAGTCCTGCCGGACTTCGCTTTGGACAGAACAGCAATCGCACAAAAAGTTTTCCCATTTCCCATTGCGCAACCAAGGGCCTGATGAGAGCCCACCTAAGAGCGCACACCTTATGCATGACCTGCCCAGCCAACAAGATTCTGAAGTAACACATTTTATTCATCATGACCTTCCATGGATTGCAAGCTTCTTCATCCTTCATATTCTCTGCTTGATCACTTCTGTTTAGGACATTTCCTCTACCTGTCTTTTTGCCTTGCATTTCCATTTCCTCTGATCCTGCTGAGAGGTTAAACTCTTATCACTTAACACCCCACCGGACAAAGGCTTCCCATCCTTCAGTGTGCTGATCTGTTTGCGAATGAGGGACGGATTAAATAAATGACCAGTCGGCCCAGCCTCTCAGTATTTGCATAATCATCTGCCAACTGAAGCCATGAATCGGAAGGAGCCAGCTAAAGCCTGTGAAAGCTTACATTGAGTAAAACCTGGTGGTCTTTTAGGAGACCTACTTTATTTAAAGTCTTGGAGCAGCACCTCCTTGGTTGCTGCTGCTGCAAGAGACTCGCACTGCTACACATACGCGCATAGGACTAATGGTTTAGGGCGAGTTAATTGTCAACATTTGGGGGCAATGAGTTGGAAGGTCATCTTATAAAGAATGCAAGAATCTCCCAAGACCAAAGACTTCTGCTTGCTTTAAAAGCTTGTACATTGAGTGGGACGAGTTCAGAATGAAGAAGAAACATAGGATGTTGCCTTAAATCTAGTCTATTTAGTTTAGTATTGTCCGGACATTGATTGGGAACAGATCTCCGGCACACTCTCCCTTCTGACAAGGAGATCTTTGGTCTGAACCTGTTGTCGGCAAGGCAGGTCCTCTGTAATGAAGTTACAGCTCCTCCATTAATTGTCTCAAGGATTACACTAAGGAGAAATATTGGCCAGAATCCTACTGTGATTTAACACCCACGTAAGTGTAATGGTGTAAATCACAGCAGCAAGTTGCTGCTAAGTAGCACGTTCCTGCTCACATTCCTAGCTGCATGGCAGGTTATGCAACTGGCACATGACCGGCAATGCAAAAGGCAACGCCTTCATTGGGCAGCAATTCAATATCACACTTAACTCTGGTGTAAATCTGCAATATAATTGCAGTTGTGGATTTTTAAGTCACAGCCTCAGATTTCTCCCATTCCATCCCTTCCCCCTCACTTACTTCCTCCCGGATTCGATGAATTTGTCATACTCCACTGCCATCTTGCATGAAAGAGCTTGGCGGCTGTGGGCTGCAGAACAGTTGGTATTGATGACATTTGCTAAAGGAGAAAGAGAAGAAGAGAGATTTGGCTTGTATGAGTTTCTTCGACTCTACATGGAAACCCTGACTCCCCCCCCCCACGCACCCACCCAGATGCACAAGAAATAGCAGCAGTCTTAGCAACATATCAAGTTCCCAAATCAATGCCTTAATAAACCAAGTCAAGGTCACCATAAAAATGTGCCAGCTTTCAAGGTCTCTTCATGAGGCTAACCTTGCCCACTGGGCTGTTTACCCCAGCCCTGTCTCTGCTCTGATTCGCAGGAACTTTCCCAGCTGTACACAGTGGAATGTTCTTATCTTGCCACCCAAATCCTTTTAATAGGAGATGACAAGAATCAAAATGTCTATAAGCAAAAGCCCGTAGCTTCACCATGGAGTTCCAGTCCCTTCTTGACCTTGTTTCTGGAACCGGATCAAATATCTAAGCAGAGAATGTGACGCTCTCAGCTGGAGGAGAGCAATATTCTCCAGAGCAGTGGCTCTCAGCATACAACGGGTGGGACCCAGAAATAATCCAGGTGGGATACAGGGTTTTCTTAACAATTACTAAGAATTCCCTCTCTCTCTCTCATTTACCCTTTCTTTGCACAAGTGTGATGTGCCATCTCTTCTGCCATGCCACACAGAGGCTGCTGACTTCAGGATCACAGGGACCATCCATCCGTTCCTGTTTTCAGTCCGAACTTCGCAGGAGCTCTCCAAACGCTGAACGCTGCCTCCAAAAGAGGTTCAGCGCCCTTGATAGCTCCCTGTAAAGTTCAGATCGAACCCCGGCCGGATTCACCACTATTTCGCCCTCCGCTCCTGCTCTCAAATTGGAATCACCAATGAAGTGTCCACCTACGAGCTTTCGATGTGCCAGTAGTAACTTTGGAGGCTCAAGGATGACCAGTGTGCCCACGAATGTGCCATACACCATAAATGCAAGAACAGAAATGCCAGTAAACCCTATAAAATGCCTGGCAATCTGTTCAGATAAAAACCTAAAGATTAGGGGAAAAATGCCAAGGGGCATCCTTTCAGATGCCCTAGCTGGTTTGACCACAGAGAGAGTTTTTTTCCCCCCAGGTCAAACCCAAGAGTTAATTCCCAGGGAACACGGGGGGGGGGGATAACAGGGCAGACTGGAGCTTCCTAGCCCCAATTAAGAGGGGAGAAGGGGGTGTGGGTGGGAAAGGCAAGGAGAAAGCTTGTCCTCCCATTCAGCATTCAGAGGGCCTCTTCCCATCACTGGCCACCTGTTACTCCCGGGAGATGTCTGGAGGGGAATCAGATCAAGGCATGAATGCAGCGCATTAGCATAAGAAGAATAGAGGGATTTGACCTATCTCTGGGGAGGGGAGGCAGTGGGGCGGAGGGTCCCTCAATAAACACTCGCTGAGTAAGTCCCCCCCTCTCCCTTCCCACTCCAGAAAGTTAATCAGCAATTTTCCTGGGAACTCCGGCCACCATCCCAGCATGCAAGCCACCCTCCCCACCAGTCTAAACTGCAGCTGGGGGGCTCACCTGTCCTCTTCTTGAGCTCTTTGTCCTCCCCGTCTGTGAAGATGTATGTCTGAAGAGAAGAAGAAAAAAAGCAGGGGGGGGGGAAATAAAGAATAAATATTTTTTTTTCAGATGATCACAACAAATATTAAGCAGCCTCTTCTCCAGCCAGCTTCCTCGTGGTCTCCCCCCCCCCCCCCCCCCCCGCCGCTTCACGTCTTTCTGCAAAGATACCTCCCTTGCTGGAAGTTGAAACAACATGATTCCAAATCACTGCTTTGCAAACATAAAAGGTGTCGTTTTCACCATGAATGTTCCACATCGTTCCAGGATTCGGCTAGGGCCGAAAGTGTTATATAAACGCACTGCTTAACTCTGACCATCATGCTGTCTTGGCATGAGTTTTGTGTCTCCACATGCCACCACTGGAGAGGAAATTCACCATGGAACAACATCACAACATGAATTAAGGATAGATAGGTACGATTTCTGAAAATTTCCATTTTTTCCAGAACATTTTCCTGTGGGTTCTTTTTTTCTTTTCATTTTTCCAGGAAAAAAACAGGGAGACTATACCCCCCTCCCAGAAAAATTGATTATTATTTTTTTGGAAATTTTATATCTCTAGTTAAGGGATCCTATTTGTTACATTTAGAACTCAGCATCATGGATATCCCATTTTTAACAGTTTTCCTTGTTTTAAAGTGGCCACGAATAACTGAGTGCGTTATGGCACATTCTTGTTGCGACCTGGTTTAATCCACCTCCGTGTTAACAATAATTAGCATTGATCTGAATGCAAAACCAGAGACACCACCACCACCACCCCACAGCTTCTTCAAAGCCTACGCTAGCTTGCTCCATACTCAGAATAAAGAGTTCCCAAAATTTCTGGGATTAGAAGCAGGGGATACTGGCAGTTCTGACCCAACTTCTCCGGAGACCATCAGGCAGTGGGATTGTTGTGATGAGACTAAGCTCCCATGTTTCCCAGCCTTCTGTCGCCTCTTTCCTTCCCATGGCAAATGGAACTGCCCTTTCAAGAGTCAATAGGAAAGCGGGAAGCGGCTCTCGAGCCTTCGACTCATAGAGCTCAAGAGGGTCAACTCTGGCGGGCAGCTGCTAAGAGTTTCAAGCAAGATGCTGTTTTCAACAGCAGCAAAAGCAACCGGGGACAGGTGGGGAAGCACCCCTCCTGTCGGCAGCCAGGCCACCTCCAACGGCCACCTGTACCCGCGCCAAGGGAGCGAGCGCCACCCTGCCCCGTCCTCGGATGCCAGCCACCTGCCTGGCTGCACTCTCTTATTTACATAGGTAATTCCTGGCATCTGGCGCTCGTCTCTAGGGGTGGCAGCCAGGCGCAGCTTGCTTTTGGGAGGGAGAGGAGGAGGAGGAGGAGGATGATTTCCAACTCAGGAACATAGTAAACAAAGGCAGGAGGAGGAGGAGAAGAAAGGCCAAGGGAAGGAAAACTCTTCCAGCCAGCTGCCAGAACCTCTCGGAAAAAGAAAAGGGAAGGAGAGATGCTCCAAGCTCAACTATCTCCACTCAGTCCCGCTTTTGGACCCCTCCGCCCAGGACGGAGGAGCTGCGGGTAGGGGGCCGCCATTGAACCCTGGCAAACAATAGCTTCCAGCAGCCAACTTAAGGCAAGCCCGGGGAAGCCGAAACTGTGTTTGCCCTCGATTAGCATACAGCTGGGCTGGTTAACTGGGCAGAGCCGGGAAGAGAGCTGGAGAAAACAACTTGGGTTTTAATTACTGGAGTGTCACACACACACACACACGCGGGCATAGCTGGGAAGGGCAGAGCCCCTCCAGGAGTCCTGGAAACAAAGCAGAGGGAGCGTGCACAGCCCAGACAGGATTCAAACGCTCCAGACCGTTTCAGCTTCCATTTTCTCATTTGTTTACATTTTTTTAAAAGCAGGTTTCTCTTCCTAAAAGCTGCCACGGGCAAGTCCTGAGCAAATGAAAAGGAAAACAAGAGGAGGACGGATTGGGGCTAATTTCAGCCTGGGCTTTTTTTTTTTAAAAAATGAAAATTTAATTTTGACTTTAAAAAACAAGGTGCTAGTCCCTAAGCTCCCTTTTTTAAGGGATAAGGTTCCACTTGCTCCCTCCCAGGGGAAGCATATTATTGCAACAGAAGTGATGGGGGAGGAAGACACCAGGTATACAAAATGATTCAAGAGAAGAGAAGGGCTCAGGGCCTGTGGCTGCAGTTTAGACAATCCTTCTGGAATGCAGAAGTGCAGAAAAGGAAGCAGGACGGGAAGAGGAGAGGGGGAAAAATGGTTGGAATTTGTTTGCAACTTTCATTTCCCCCCCCCACTGCCCCCATACAGAAAATGTTGATTCTATTAGATCAGCGGGCGCTCTCCTAACAACTGTGCCTTTACTTCTATCCGAAAATAGCCTTTGAGCTAATCATTTCCTTGCTATAAATAGGCCAAAGGAGACCACCACACCCCCCCCTTCTCCTTCTCTTGTTTGCTTATTTATTGCTGGGCTGCATTGAAACAGTTTATCCCAAACAGGCCATAAACGCTGAGCTTGCACCCTGGGAGGCGTGGAGTTGGGTCGGGAAGAAAGATAATGCACCAG